TTAATGCTTGGCTTTGAAGCAAAAAACATGTCAATGTCCTCTTTAACACTTTCCACATACGTTTTTCCCATTAAGATAGTGTTGCAGCAAACAAAAAAGATGGTAATCTGATGGTGCCATATCTGGAGAATATGGTGGGTGAGGGAGAACTTCCCAGCTCAACTCCATAATTTTGTGTTGCATCAAATGTGCCACATGTGGACGTGCATTGTCATGAAGAAGAAGAACACCTTTCCAATTAACGAGTGAAGAGCATTTCTGATGAAGGGCTTGATTTAAATATTCCAGTTGCTGACTATAGATCTCTGCATCGACAGTTTGCTGTGGATTGAGGAATTTGAAATGAATTACTCCTTTAATGTCCCATCAAATGCAAAGCATCACTTTCTGCAGATGGAGTCCAAGTTTTGGGGTCGGAAGTGGTTATTGAGCCATTGTTTTTGGTGTTTAATATTTGCATAGGGAATCCATTTTTCATTACCAGTGACAAAACTAACAAGCACTTATAAACAAATGTGTTCCTTAATTTAGTCACTATCCTTTTCAACTAGAACATTCCAGCTCCATAACAACTTAAAAGTTACAAACCAAGGAAGAAATTGCTTGAAAGGTATCTTAATGGACAGTCTTGGGTGGACAAGTGTTATACAGCCAGCACTGAAATAAATGTTCATCGATGACCTCAAATGTTTTATTGTGGATAAATGTCTGGCAACACTGGGATTTATGGAAATCAGCCTAAATAGAAAATGTAGAGATTGGGCAGAAGGTGAAGAAGAAGAAGCCTGTCAGTATCTATTCAGAGTCCAGGATTGGTTACTTTTCACCATATTATATAGTTCATATACTACAGACTGCATGTGATCTAGTTGGACATTCTTTATCATGTAGAGCAGGAATATTTAAAGAGGTAATGAGCTTGCTAGAAAACAAAGTAGTGTATGGTGTTGTTAGGAAAAAGCAAAAGACTGTGAATCAATAGGAACAAATATAGTCAAAAAGCCATTGGTAACATCAGTAAAAGGACTCTCTTCTACTTTCTGTAAAGCAGCCAGCCTCTACAGTGGGGGGGGGGGGGGGGGGTGGG